ATAAAGAAAACAAAAATCCTCACAACTGGACCAATAAGCAGCATCATGATAAATGGAGAAAAGATTGAAGTTGTCAAAGACTTCATATTACTTGGTTCTGAAATCAACACCAATGGAAGCAGTAGTCAAGATATCAGATGACGTATAGCACTGGGCAAACTGGCTGTAAAAGATCTCTTTCAAGCGCTGAAGAGCAAAAATATCTCCTTGAAGACTAAGGTGCACCTGACACAAGCCATGGTATTTTCAATCTCCTCATATGCATGTGAGAGCTGGACAATGAATAAGTAAGATCGAAGAAGAGTCAATGCTTTTTTGAGTCGTGGTGTTGGCGAAGAATGCTGAAAATCAAGTACCATAGACTGCTGAAAGAACTAACAAATTTGTCCTGGAAGAAGTGCAGCCAGGATGCTCTTTGGATGTGAGAATAGCCAGACTTTGTCTCAGCTACTTTGGTCATGTTTTAAGAAGGGACCATTCCTTGGAGAAGGATATCATGCTTGATAAAGTGGAGGGTCAATGAAAGAGGGGAAGGCGCTCAACAAGATCAACTTTCACAGTGGCTACAATGATGGACTCAGGTATAGCAAGGATTGTGGAGCTGGCACAGGACTGGGCAGCATTTCCTTCTGCTATACAGAATTGCTATGAGTCGGAGATGACTCGATGGTGCCTGACAACAACAACAAATAATTTAAATGGGGAAGAGTTTAATTCAAATCCAGAGAGGAGGCAAAGAACTCTGAGAACAAAAGGGCCTTGAACCCATGTTGACCATCTGTAGGCCTCAGGGGTCCTCTTTGTGAAAACTGTGTGCTGCCTGGCAGCATGCCACCTTGTCCTTGTGATGTCAATTAGGATGGAAGTGTATATGGCATCATCTCCTTAGTTCTTCAGAGTATATGCTATTGAGTATCTAATGAAATAGGCTACTTAAGAAAGAAGAAAAGGATGCCTAACACAGAACACTATCTCATAGGCTTATTTTTATGCTAATTAATATATTATTAAAGAGGGCAATGAAATGTGTTCATTTTCTAAATTGAATCCACCTTAAAATCAGTTTGAAAGGTGGAATACCCACTCCCTAATGCAAAATCAAAACCCTCGTATTTTTCCCAATTATTTGGTTCATTTTAACACAGATGCATAATTCTACTGCCTTCACCCCACTGCTGATTTCAAGTTGTACATCAGAGAAATAGAATGAAAATATTGCCTCTTGCCAATTTTCTGCTGTCATATTTCTTCAACTTGGCGCCACCACAGTTTCCCAATGAAAACAACTTTCCCTGAAGACAATTTAAGCAAAACAAGAAAGAATGGGAAATCCTTTTTGTTTTTATTTTTTTAAGTTTATTTAGGGGACACAAAAAATACATCTAAATGATGGTTTTTTAAAACAAAACAAAAAAACAATTTCTGTTTTCAATTTATCATATGCTGGCTCACCACTCTATACTCAGTCTACAAGAGTATAAGATATCAAAGATATCAACTGATTTCTCCATGAACTGTTTAAGATGATTGAATTTGACACAAGAATACACAAACTCACTTTCTCTTGAGTGGTGACGGGCACTCCTTAATTGTCTGCTGAGAATTACTCACACACCCTTTCCCTCACCTCTTTCTCCACACACAATCTTGCCTGTCCCCCCTTGTGACACATAACACACAGGTGGGAGACAGCTGGCTGGGATAATCTGATTTCTGGAATAGTATTCTTGTTTGTTACCTGCAAAAAATTAACTGGCTTGTGGGAATCAAATCTCACTGTTGGCCTCATTGGAATCAGGCTGGATCAACAGAGCTACAAACCCCAAACAGTTATGGAAATAAGCAAAACTAGTGTTTGCTTTTCCTATTTTCTAGGTTAGAGTGGGGCTCTTTAAAGAAATATTTCACAAAATTAGAAAAAAGCATAAATGAGAAATTAGAAGAGTTTTAGTTATAATGACAGGAGAGAACTCACAATCCATTTCTTCCATGGAGAATAAAACTGGTATAAAAAGACACAATTTCATTTTTAGGTTTTAAGGTGGGTTCTAACCTAACAATGAAAGTGCTTTGTTAAAACCACCATAAAAATAAAAACTAATCTAAAATATAACTGCCAGTGTTCCTTTATGATTTAGAAAAGTGAGATGTCCAGGTTTAAGTGAACGGTTCTACGGGTTGCCAAATGCATTCCCATGAACAGTTCTCAGGCTGTGGAAATGTAAAGCTGTGCTCATTCTCAATGACCCGTAAGGACTAAAATTCAACTACACATACATATGTATCTTAAGACTTGTCCTAATTCAATGCCCAAGTACTGAAGATTTATATTAGATGTACCTGCATGGGAAACAGTTTTCAATCTTTTTTTCACAACTTACACCAGAACAAAGATGCTATCAGTGCAGGAAAAAAAAGCTACTGCATGTCAAACCTTAATGTAGAAGAGGAACGACTTTTTTCCCCAAACCCACAGATTTCGTTTTTAAAAATTGAACTAGTTAATAGTAAAAAGTCATTTTTTTTTGCATGATAGAGGAGTGTAAATGAAGTTCCATAAACCAGTATATATATGTCTATGAGCCCGTAATTTAAAAAAGAAAGAAAAAAAAAAAGCTGCATCAATTCTAAATGGATATGTAAATAAATCCATTCCAGGTCTCAAATATTATAAGAACAAGTCTTAAGTTCTTAATAACAAAGATTAGGATGGAAATAAGAAATTGAACAGTAGCAATGGTAGCAGGCAGTACTGTATTCATCATTATTTAAAAGGAATGGCTGGGTTGGGGGGAGAAAGAGAAAAAAAGCACAATTCTGATTGCTATATTCACATTTCAGCCACTTAGAACCTCATCCAAAACAGGAAAAGCCAATCCAGAAACGCCCGTCTGCTCATGTCACTGCAGAAGTGTGTTTTAGGAATGACAGAATTCCTCCCCCAGGGACAAGCTGGGCCTGGCAGAAACCCATCTTGCAAGGTGGCTGTGCTAATGCGGGTTCTCTGGAGGAGATTAAGTCAGCAAGCAAGTGGCCTCTGAGGTTCTGGCTTTCAAATCTGTCACGCTACTGTGTACCTGAGGGGAGATCAGACCCCTCCACTGTGGATTCTGTTGGTTAAAAATGCAATAGGTTGCATTTGTAGTACTTTAGTCATTTAAAAAACAAGACCTAATCCCCCTTCCCCTACCCCACCCAACTGCAGGAAAGGAGAAATTCATTAAGCTTCCCACCCCCTCAGGTTTCTGCAGTGCTATTAAAATTCAATACAATCCAACCAAATGTGAAACACAACAGATAGCCCCAACTTGTTAGGATTATCCCAAGGGATCCTGAATTGGATACTGAAGGCTGACATAAACTGAAATGAGCTAGACTTAGTCTGTTGGTTCAGTCTCTCTACACCAACAGTGAATTCTGCGTTTTGTTCCACCTAGAGTGGTCCCATGCCACCCCTCCATGAGTGCACTGGGCAGCAGCAGGGTGGTGGTTTGGGGGAAGCTACTGGTTTTGCCATTTGCTTCCAAAATCACATAGACTATAACGAACTTGACATGAAACACTGCTTAGTCCTGAGTTGGGTGAAAGCCCACTGAGGAGGGGGCTGAGTTCTTTAGGACTCTCTTCCCTCCTTAGCATGGGGTCATACACGGCCTTCAGGTTTCTCTGCTTCCACTGCTTGACTTCCTGTTCCTTTTTCATTGGTGACCTGTGCTAAAGTCTTCTTGCTCATTGCTTTACTGGCTTCTTCCTGAAGAGGGAATAAGAAATCAAGAGGGTTAAAGACAAAAGAAGTGGGATATTCAATGAACTTCTAGCTCCTCCAGATTGTTTTATTAAGTACAAGAAAGGGCATTCCAATGATTTAGGTTTGCCCATTGGGTAAGCTAGGGTGTGCTACCAATGGCTATAGTGGGAGCTTTCACTTTTTCGTGGTTAAAACAACTGTTTTGGTGCTGTTTAACGATCAAGTCTATTGATAAAGGGGGATGGGGCACCAAGGAAGTCCTCAGGACCAGTCTGCAACTATAATGTAAGGAGAGGCTGATCTCTTTCTACACAGAACTCTCCTACCATATCTGCCAGGTTGGCCCCCAAACCTCAAGACAAAGGGCAAGATGCTGGGGTTTCCCCATAAGAGTCCATTTCTTGCGAAAATCAAAAGTCTCAACAGGGAAGTATTAGCTGGGGGGTGGGTGGGGTGTTTATGATTTTTTTTTTTTTACTTTTATTTTGGTGAAAACATACACAATAAGACATTCACCAACATAACAACTCCACATTTACACCTCAGGAACACTGATGACATTGTTCATGTTGTGCCACCATTATTGCTATCCTTTTCCAAAATACTTCACCACCATGAGCATGAACTCAATGCCCACAAACAAAAGCTTCCTCTTCCCACTTCCCTCTACCCCTGCTGTTGTTGTGTGCCATCAAGTAGGACCAGACTCACAGTGACCCCTCCTTGGGTTTCTGAGGCAGTATCACTACGGAAGTAGAGTGCCCAACCTTCCTTCCCAGGAGTGGCTAGTGGGTTTGAACTGCCAGCCTTCTGGTAAGCAGTCAAACGCCTTAGGCACTAAACTACCAGAGCTCCCCTCTACCCCTTGTAACCACTAATAATCTCTGGTACATATATATGTTTATTTGTTTGTGAATTTCACCCCAGAAGTCATTTTCCCTATTCTTGTACCTCTAGGATCATCTATCTACCTGTCCCTCTGCCCTACCCTTAACTTTCTTAGGGCAAAAAATCAAAGGGGCAAGGTCAGTTTTTGATCTACCTGAAGGTAGGTGGGTCCTGCACATACCTTTGCATCCTGCTCTGCAAACTTCTTGAACATGTTGGCGTATATCCTGCGGTCCCGCTCATTGTGTTCCTTAGCCTTCTTCTGACACATGGAGATCTGCAGTCTTGCAGCCTTATTCTGGGGATTCACTTCCAACACCTTCTCAAAGTCACCCTTGGCTGACTCAAACTCATTCATAAGCAGCTGGGCTTCACCCCTTCTATACAAGCCCTTCTCGTTGGCACTGTCCAGTCCAAGGGCCTATGAATAGATGGTCTATATTTTAGCAAGGATGAATGTAACTCTTCTCACTTGTGGGGACACTGATAAGAAAACAAGTTTCTTATCTTTATAAATAACTTATCAAAGTTCTTTGGCCAAGGAAGTTGGAAGAGGCATATTGGAAACATGGTGCTCAAAATAATTATACACTACTTATCAAAACACAAAAAAAAAAAGAAAAAAGAAAAAAAAAAAGAAAAGAAACTAGACTCACTGCTGTCAAGTCGATTCTGACTCACAGTGACCCCCGCCCCCAGGTTTCCGAGGCAGTATCTCTACTGAGGGAGCTCTGGTAGCATAGTACCTAAGGCACTTACTTGACTGCTAAACAGAAGGCTGGCGGTTCAAACCCACCAGCCACTCCTCGGAAGGAATATGGGAAATCTACTTCTGTAGTGATACTGCCTCAGAAACCCAAGGAAGGGTCCAACTCGACAGCACATAACAACAACAACAACAACAATCTCTACGTAAGTAGATTGCCTAGTCTTCAATAAACCCCTCAAATTAATTTCTGTATTTAATGCAATTTCTAGAAATGTCCCAATGGGATTTAGGAAGGGGGCACCTGAGAAGCTCATTTTAAAGTTTATCAGAACAAACAAATGCCCAATGATGGCTGAGAAAATTTTGGAGGGAAGAGAAATGTGAGGGGACTAGTCTTTACAAGAGGAAAAAAATATAGTTAAAATAAAATAGTTTGGTTGCTAGCACATAGATAAATAGACCATTGAAATAGAACAAATATTTCAGAAACAGAGTCACACGTATATGTAAAGCAAATTTAGTGGTGACAAAGGGGGTAATACAAATCAGTGGGGAAAACATTAACTTTGCAATGAATGGAGTCAAGATGGTGGTTATCCCCCAGAAAATAAAAGAGTTAAATTCCTACTTTATATCATAAACACAAAAATAAATTCTCAACCAACTATATAAATATGTAAAAAACCCTCATGAAATTATAACAGGGTTATTTTTATAATCTTATGGTAGGGTCACTGTGAGCTGGAATTGACTCAACAGCACACACAACAACATGGTAAGGAAGATCTCACTAACTAGAAAGAGAAAGACTTAACTACATAAATATTAAAACTTTCTTTACAGAAAAAGATAGCATCAATAAAGGTAGAAGACAAACAAGAATAGGCTCCCTAATTTGTCAGACAAAGGGTTAATAAGGATTGTGTCAATCAACAGAAAAGAGACAAATACCTAGCAAAGGGTTTGAAAGAACAATTCACAGAAGATATATAAATGGCAAATACATAACAAAAATATGTGCAACTTCACTAGTGACCAAGAAGTACAAACGGAAATTAAGAATTTCTTTTGGGTCAATGACAAAGAAAGAAGAGCAGTGATAATATTCAAGGATATCATTTAATGCTGTTTAAATTAAAAATGTCCATACCTTTGACCCAATATTTCCACTTCTAGGAATTTATCCTTTATAAACAAACTCACAAGTGTGTAAGAGAGATCCTGTATAATTTGGAATGTCAAAAACTTGGAAATGTACAAAGGGAATGACAGATGCATACAATGGGCACAATGGAGCTCTTAAAAAGAATGAAGAGCACACCTGGGGCTTCCAGCCAAACAAGAGACAGGCATATGAGGTGAACATTTACACTAGGTAGATACACTCCTTGCAGAGAACAATCATGGGAGAATAGAAGGGCTGTGTATGCAGAGGGAGACAGCTCGGGGGGCAATAGTACATGGACGGAAGGACACAGGGAAGAGGTAACTATGGGGGGGAAATGGGAGGGGAGCTGTTGTATTCTGGAACTGCAGTCAATGTCATGAGACAAAGTGTATGTGAACTGCTATATGGAAGTGAATTTGCTCTGTAAACTTTCACCCAAATCACATTAAAAAAAAAAAAAAAAAAGAATGAGGGGGTGCTACATGGACTGATTAGGTGTGCAAAGATGTCTTATAAAATTAAATCTACATCTCAATTTAAATCTCTATCTATATTTCTATGGTCTCATCTAAAAATACATTCACACATAGGCTACTCTATGTATGGAAAAAAAAACAGAAGGAATGTGAATGTTTATGAAGTGAAGGACTGTGGTCTTGGGAGAGAGAATTTTGAATGGACTTTCACCTTGTGTATTTCTGTAATGTGTGAGCTGTAAATAATTTTACATTACTTCTACAATAATAAGCATTACATTTTAAAAAAGGTAACTAACAATAACATCTTTCTCAGGCAAATTTTGAGGAAACTCAGGCCCGCCCAAAGCAGCAGGACAGGAAAGCAGGAGAAAGGGGATAAAAGTCAGGAACCTGGACAGAAGAGCAGTCAGCCCCAGGGATACAAGTGAGGAGAGACAACTCAGGGACGCCCAAAGCAGCAGGCCGGAAGAGCAGGAGAAAGGGGATTAAAAGCCAGGAAGCCAGAGAGAAGAGCAATCAGCTGAAGGCATTAGGTGAGGAG